TTATTAACATTTAATTTACCTTGGCTTAGGTCTTCCTTCTCTCTTTCTCTCTCTCTCTCTTTTTTACTAAGCTCATTCTTTGCTTTTTTTTTTTTTTTTGGTTTTATGAGAGGGTTTCTCTGTATTGTTTTGGAGGCTGTTGGTCCAGCCTGGCCTCGAACTCACAGAGATCTGCCTGCCTCTGCCTCCCGAGTGCTGGAATTAAAGGCATGCATCACCACCGCCCGGCTCGTTCTTTGCTTTTTAAAACAAGAAGAGCAATAAAAAATGAACCACATTGTACTGTGTGTGCAAAGGTAGCTATCATTTAACACTGAAATACGAACTCTGTGATCATAGAGATGTTTGCTTTCTCATGGCTGTGGTCTTAGTGCATGGACCAGCAGATTGCCAGTAGCATATACTCAAAGACATTCAAAGATTAAATGCTGACATTTGCAATGGTTGCATCTCTTATCAAAGAACTGACTATGCTCCTGACCCCTCAAAGCCAGTCTAGGCCAAACAAGATTCTCCATCTCTCAAAACTAAGGGATTTCGACGGGAGACAGAGAACGTGGGAGTCGTTACCACAGGTGGGGTCAGGGCTAGCACCTGTGTAACAGCAGGCCTGGACCATGAGATGGCAGTCGGGTATGTGAGTAGAAGAAGAAACCCATGGGACAGCGAGATGGCTTAGTGGATAAAGGCACTTGCTGCTCAGAAGGACAGCCTGAGTTTAATTCCCAGGATGCTCACTGTGGAAGGGGAGGCATCCCACAAGTTGTCCTCTGATCCCCACATGTGTGCTGTGGTACATGAGTGACTGTAAAAATACACATGAATGTATAACTGTAATGCATGTTATTAAAAGGAAAAATCCAAAAAGAACCCATATCCCAATGTCATGCTGTCCACTCCCCAGCTCCAGTTTCTGTTGTTTGCCGAGAGTATTTTGCCTTTTCAGGTTTAAAATAGAAAATTGTCAAAAGTAAAATGTAGAAGTTGAGATCTTTCCTGACTTCTTGACGGCAAACGACAAAGGACAGTAAAGTTTCCTCAAGGTAGGAATCCAGGGAGGAGAGTGATTTCCTCAAGATGGGGAAACCAGGGAGACGAAATGGACAGGTACATCCACTTCCTACTTCAAAAGAAGTTCCTATTCGTGGTGCAGTCTGGGGGAAATCAAGAACTAAATAGCTGGAAATTGCAAGAGGGAGGGGGAGGGAAGGAGGGAGAGGGAGAGGGGAGGGGACAGAGAAAGAGAGTGAGAGGGAGAGAGGGAAAGAGAGGAAGAGAGAGAAAAAGGGAAAGAGAGAGGGGGCAAGAGGGAGGGAGGGAGGAGGAGGAAGGGAGAAAGGGAAACAGAGAATATCTATATCTTCAGAGAATCTCTTTTGAGTTTACCAGAGAATTAACCACTGCATGACAATGAGGGAATGTAAATGAGAATTTGGTGTTCTCTCACAAAAGCCCATGGGCAGTACTTGTTATCAACAGCCAGACTTGAAACTCCACAGCTCGCAGGGCATAGGGCAGACGGACACAGAAGAACTCTGTCTCCCTTTTATTCCAATTGTCCTGTTCTACTCAATAAATCTTCAAGGCTAGATCTGAAAAGATCAAACTGTTTTGGGGTAACTCTGTAGGACCCTGGAAGTTAAAAAAGGTCCAACTTTTGAGGTATAAATGTTTGAGGAGACCTAGAAGAATGCCATTATAATGTCCTTATGTATGTATGTGCTAATCTGTCACTTGGAGGTTGGCTTTGAGAAGATAGATTTCTGTCTCCATGATACAAACTCAGAAGGAATCATGAATTTAACAATGGGTTAATAAAGAAACAAAATGATAAAGGAGATGCACTGGCAAGGTCTAGAATGTGGCTCAGTGGTAGTGTGCTTGCCTAGTGTGTGAGGGGTCTTAGGTTCAATCCCTAGCACCTTAAAAACCCAAAGCAAACCTTAGCTAAGCCTCTAAAAGAGAAAAAAGAAAAGAGTACCACAGCAAAACACAGTATGCACTCCAACTGTCAAGACCTGCCCAAAGGGACATTTAAAGTTGTGTGACAGTCACGGAAGAAGCCAGGACATGGGATCAGGGATTTCGATGTTATTGTATGTAGCGAGAATTCGAGTTACTTGCGGGAAGACCAAGCTATGTGCTCTCCTCACTAACACTGCAAGCAATCATTTTAGGTATAAAGCCACTTTGATAATCCTGAAACTGCCTGCAGACATCATTCGAAAAGCCTTGACAGCGCAGTTGGCTGGCAGTTCCTTCTGTAGTCACTGACTTACAATCCCCACATAAAAAGTTATTGCAAATGTCATTTTAACCTCTATGTCCTCACCATGCATAAACCACAGTATATCTTCAAAGACATGCTGATTTGGGAAACAAAGATGCTTTTGTGTTTGTGTCTGCTTTCCCAGCAAGATCGAATGCTAATATCTGCTCACATTTATATTCATGTTCTTACTGTTTGTGGGGAGATTTTTAAAGAACAACATGGAAGATTTTGCTTAACCCTGACTCCAGAGGGAGAGGGGGAACAAAACAAAACAAACAACAACAACAAAACCACCCAAATCTCTAGCTAAACTTGGAGATACTCTGGTGTTTACATGTGCAGGGTGAAACCCTTAGATTCAAGCTATTCTTTAGTCTTCCCTGTTCTAGTGATTGCGTCCACATGCCAGTGAGCTGCGCTGGCAGGAAAGGGTCCTGGATCTGTTTCTGAATTACAGAACCATAGAGAAATACTCTAACATTCTCTTTTCCTGCAGATGAGAAACACATCAACCCTTCAGGAGCACGCTGCTTCTTTTCTCCCTTCTCTGCTCTTCCCAAGCATCTCTCTTCCCAACATCTTCTATTTGCTGGCTCTGATAGAGGAAAGAAGACAACTTGATGCTTTGACACCGAAAGTGACTGACATTTTCCTGTGGTAGGGAAACATTATGAGCAAAGTGACACCTGACACAAGTTTGAGCTGGTTTTAATGACTTAGAGTATTTTAATCAGAGATCTCTCGGAGTAGCTGCCAGTGTTGAAAGAAACAAGGTTGCCTAGTGCACCACGACAGCCTCCCCCCAACCCCAGTTCACATGAATACTTTTTCCCGGACTGGCATTGCAGCCACCGGAGACAGACTATTAAGATTGTCATCTACTTTTAATTTAAAGAGCAGTGGTCATTTCCAGGGCTGGTGGTTTGGGGACATCCCTGAAAGGCAGTCATTAGGGGAAGTTTTACTCCTCAAATTGCCCTCATTGTCATCTCCAGCTGTAGAACTTCCCCCCAAAAAGTGTGTTACATAGAACCCCCCCAAAAGTTACTATATTGTCACCTCTTCCTCAAGAGCTAGCTAGAGGAGGACTGTCCCTCCCTGAGGAGTCCTTCTCCTCCTGTATGACAATCCTGCTCCTGTGGGGGTCTACAGGTTGAGAACCACTGTAGTTCTTGGGGCATAAGTCTGATCACTAGTCCATGGAACTTGGTGTGTGACAGCAAGGTTATCAGTGGGAGGTCAGAACTATGAGTCTGGGTGGAGGAACATCCGTGTCAATCATATGAGTACCGCACCTAAAACCAAGATCGGATTTCTTCTGGTTAGTTAATTAGGATTGCTGCTTAGGTTATTTAGAGAAAAGGCTGGCATTCACTGTGGTGTGTGGTTCTCATGGAGTCAAGACCACTCTTTAAAAAAAATTTGAGTGATTTCTGCCCAGGAAGGGCTGACTGGGTCTGTATCTAGTGCCCCAGGCCTTCTGAAATAGCACCTCATTTAATATTTACGGTAGTCCTCATCAGTAAGCACAAGAGTCCAGGCAGAGTGACTTCCGGGTTCCATGGCTAATCTCTTTTCATGGAGATAGGAGGGCACTCCGACGTCACATCTATGCACCGACAGTTTCCTGGGGCCAAGCACTCCTATCTCACTTTACCACTGTGGCAATTGTTCAGGTTATGGACTACAACCTGGACGCGGTCGTGCTGAAGAGCGTTCAAGCAGCCGTCAGGCAGACAGGTCACCATCCTCATTAGCTGATGTGTGGAGTCTGAGCAAGCCCCACACTCTTCTGAGCATCATTTCCTACACGGTTTAGCTAGAGATGTGCAGGCCTGTGAGGAAGGAGTTTTGCAAGACGTTGAGTGTCATAAGGTAGGTGTGTGTGTGTGTGTGTGTGTGTGTGTGTGTGTGTTTCAGGAGGCGCACAGGCTTTTGACTTCATGCCAGGTCTCTGTTCACTTGAAGAGTAAGCGGGAATCTTGTCCTCACTGCTGCTCCAGTCCTGGCACACAGCGGGCACAAGGGAGGGAATCCTGGCTCAGTGAATAACATGCTAGTCAATGGGACGCCCTACTCGTCTACGTTTTAGGGGTATTTCAAATGAGGGAGCTCAGAGTGCGGAAAGCCGTGCCTCTAATCTTCCAGATTCTGGCAATCGGGGACAGGGAAAAGCAGCTTTGAGGACCTGAATCTTGGGGATACAGTCTGTTCATGTTAGGGTGCAGGCGGGGTGCAGGAAACCATAGGCGCCGGCAGAGGGCGCCAGGTGCCCGCTGAGCAGGCAGCACAGTGTTTGGGGTGCTTGCGGGGCGCGGGTCACGGGCTGCACTCGTGAGTTGACCACAGAAGCGCCTTGGCGGGCGGAGCGCGGAGCGAACGGCCCGGGAGCTGGCGCAGGTTTGGCAGAGTCGCGGAGCGTGGCCTCCCAGAGCGGTGAGCACCCGCGACCCAGGGCTCCTCGGACCCCAGTTGTGGGACAGCGCCGTGACGCGAAGCGAGCTGCTGCCCAGGGCTTGCGGTGCGTGGGTGTGGGCAGGGTCGGCTCTGACCCCGAGCTTTGGGTGGAACTTGGGGTTGACCCGAAGAAGAGGCGTTGAGTGCAGGACCCAAGTTTGGCTTACTTAACATTTGAACGCGAGGATTTGTCCCTTGGGTTCGGGTTTGTGCGGGGGGGTACCCGGGGTGGGCGAGATACCAGAGGCGACAAGGCGATCACGTAGGCGCCCCACAGCTCTGCTCCTGCTGCGCCATCGGGGAACCACGTGTGGCTGTCGCCCGCCACTCTGCCTGTCTAGCTCAGCCCATCCCAGGGCCGGGAGGGGACGCGGAGGCGGGGTGGGCTGTGCCCCGCTGGTACCCAGCCGGCCGGTGCCCTCGCCCGAGCGAGCAGCTGTGCCTGCCTGCCGCTCCTGCCCCTGCTGCTGACACGGGGAGGCTGGGGTCCTGACCTAAGATCCAGGAGCCAAGGAAAGCCAAGGGAAGCCCTGCGCTGGGTTCCCGCACACTAGCCCTGGTAGTGCCCTCCCAAGGACACTCTGAGAGACCCTGGGGCAGCGATCTGTAGGTGGCCAAGGCAGCAGGAGGGCGCAGCTTCCCTGGGTACCTGGGCTGGGATTCCTTTCCCAAATCCGGAGATTTTTGCGCATCAGGAGGGGGAACGCTTGCTAGGCCGACAGGACTCACTGTGGGAGCTCCAGGAGTTTTGGGAGAGGCCACCCCCCAAAGCAAGGTAGGTGGTCTTGACAGACTTGTCCAGGAGATGATGAACGGGGATTTAACGTCGCTAAAGACGCGAGCTACACATAGTCTTGGTGAACGACTTGGTATTTTCCTTTGCTTTTTTAGGGCATTTGGAGAGATGTGGCACTAGGGACTTGGAGGAGAAATACATGCATTTTAGGCTGTGTCTCGGAGGAAGAAGCAGTACCCCTGAAAAGCAACTGTAATTGACCAGGAAGAGGCCTTAGATTCTCTAGTTGAAGACTTAAAATATGCTGAAAAGCTGGTGTTGTCCTCGGGGAATTTAGGGACCAGTCGGTGCCCGGGAGAGTGACCTGGAGCACGGAACCCAGAAGATAGATGGAAAGCAAGAGGGTACTTTTACCGGCATGGTTTGGATTGCTATGGGGAAGGCCGTGATGGAACACCTCTGTCTTTTAGTTGGGGCAGCAACTGGGGCTGGGCAAGGGGCTGCCGGCTGGTGAGTGACCAGGGGGAGTCTGGCTAAGCCTGCTCAAGAACCCCAGGACCAAGTCACCCGGAAGTGCTTTCTGTCGGGACGATGGCTCCGAACACTTCTACCATGGATGGGGCTGGGCTGGCCGTGGAGAGGGATTTCTCCTTTCGCATTCTCACCGCCTGTTTCCTGTCGCTGCTCATCCTGTCCACTCTCCTGGGGAACACCCTCGTCTGTGCCGCTGTCATAAGGTTTCGACACCTGCGGTCCAAGGTGACCAACTTCTTTGTCATCTCTTTAGCTGTGTCGGATCTCTTGGTGGCTGTCTTGGTCATGCCCTGGAAAGCTGTGGCTGAGATTGCTGGCTTCTGGCCCTTTGGGTCCTTCTGCAACATTTGGGTAGCCTTTGACATCATGTGTTCCACTGCGTCCATCCTTAACCTCTGTGTGATCAGCGTGGACAGGTACTGGGCTATTTCCAGCCCTTTCCAGTATGAGAGGAAGATGACCCCCAAGGCAGCCTTCATCCTAATCAGCGTAGCATGGACTTTGTCTGTTCTCATCTCCTTTATCCCGGTGCAGCTAAGCTGGCACAAGGCAAAACCCGAGTGGCCCTTGGATGACAATTCCACTTTCCTGGAAGATGCTGAGGATGACAACTGTGACACCAGGCTGAGCAGGACGTATGCCATCTCCTCCTCCCTCATAAGCTTTTACATCCCCGTAGCCATTATGATCGTCACCTACACCAGTATCTACAGGATTGCCCAGAAACAAATCCGGCGCATCTCAGCCTTGGAGAGGGCAGCAGTCCATGCCAAGAATTGCCAGACCACCACTGGCAATGGAAACCCCGTGGAATGTTCTCAATCAGAAAGTTCCTTTAAGATGTCCTTCAAGAGAGAGACTAAAGTACTGAAGACCCTGTCGGTGATCATGGGGGTGTTCGTCTGCTGCTGGCTCCCTTTCTTCATCTCAAACTGTATGGTACCCTTCTGTGGGGATGGGGAGACCCAGCCATTTTGCATAGACTCCATCACCTTTGATGTATTTGTGTGGTTTGGGTGGGCAAACTCTTCCTTGAACCCCATCATTTATGCCTTCAATGCTGATTTTCAAAAGGCATTTTCAACCCTCTTAGGATGCTATAGACTTTGTCCTACAACAAACAATGCCATAGAGACAGTAAGCATCAACAACAATGGGGCTGTGGTGTTTTCCAGCCACCATGAGCCTCGAGGCTCCATCTCCAAGGACTGTAATCTGGTTTACCTGATCCCTCATGCTGTGGGCTCCTCTGAGGATTTGAAAAAGGAGGAGGCAGGTGGAATAGGTAAACCACTGGAGAAGCTGTCCCCAGCCTTATCGGTCATCCTGGACTATGACACTGATGTCTCTCTAGAGAAGATCCAACCTATCGCTCACAGTGGACAGCCCCCAACCTGAATTTTGGGTCGTCATCTCCGAAGCTGGCCAGGGCTTCCCTAGAGCTGTTAAGGAATTAAGGTCTGGTGGGACGGTGAGCCACCTCAAGATCCCTCTGCTGCTTCTGAACAATTACAAAACTTTTCCAATGCATTACTTCCGGTGTGTTTTCTAGGGAGGGAAAGGACTTGGGCTCTGAAATCATTTTTGAAACTTATTATCTTAGGATGTTATTTTAAAAAAATGGGACAAAGAGTCAACAGTCAACAGCTTCACTTAGAAATCAAAACTTTCTAGGAAGGAAGTGAGAGAGTTGAGTTTGCTGTGTCCAAACAGGTGCTAAAACTGTCCGAGCAGTTTTCAGATTGTACAGGTAGGTGCATGCCTTCACTAATTACTTCTACAACACTAATTGAGCCTTACAGCAAGAGTGGGATTTCTCTTTTCAGAATTGACAGATGTTCTGTTGACAGTGGTTTTATTTATTTATTGTATTATATGGATATTTTAAATTGATCATAGTGAATCTATATTTATTCATATTTAATAGAACAAACCAATGTTATTGGAGACTGAATAGTCCAATGTGCTAGTGCTTTACGAGTCCAAGGAACACACATACACAGACTCCGAGATTTGGAATTGTGAGTAACTTCTAGAAACACAGCAGAGACTGACGTGCTGGCTCCTTAACACGGACACAAATACAAGATGGGAAGCGATTAACAACACCAATGCTCCCCTCCTAAAAACACTGCCCTGAATGTTTTAAAAGGCAAAGGCTTTCCCATGGTGAATTTGCACGTCTGTAAATATCTGTGTGAAAGTCAGCTCTAGAAGAATACAGCTTTACGTTTCTGTTTTTGGATGGCAAGGAAGAGCGTGTGCCACTTTGTATTTATGTAAAATAACTGGCCCTCCCTGTCGTTTCTCATTTCATGCTTGAAATAGCTTTCTGAAACAAACAAATAGCTGTCCATCCCAGATTAAGAACTGCAGCAGGAACGAGCTGTAAATTCACGGGTCACAGCCGACCCTCCGATGGGCAGGGTCCATGTCTGGTTGTTCTCCAGCTGCCCATGTCAAACCAAGCCGGCGGCTCAAGGGGCTACTTTTGCAGAGCTTCAATCTGAACTTACTTACCCCTTTTCAAATAAGCTCTTTGATGTTAGCGGTAAAGTAGCTAATGAGTGGTGCCTCATCATGGTCTCGTTCTACTTCCGTTGGTGGGGGGGACCGGAAGAGGCCCTTTCCCTCTGTATCTTGAGCATCTCAAAGCCATCGGTATCACTAGTCACAAACGCTATTATTTTTCTCCGTGGTTCTGAATCCAGTTTCCACGCCATAACCTGGACTGCAAACAGTACCATCAGGTCCCCTCATGTGGGGAAGCTAAGTGATGTGGGACATTGCAACAGTTACTTCATTTTATTTATTTCTGTTTTCGCTTTGGAAATGTTTACGAGGTGTTCTTGGTAAGCGGTTGGCAACATGTGGAAGGAACTGACAAAGCGAGGAGCTTGCTGACAGCAGCTCCCGCACTGGGTCTGTGTCCTTATGTACTTTGAATGTTCTCTCAGCTCTACTGCTTGTATGCTTTCTTACATACAATAAAATTATTTTGTGAGTTCAAGTCAACCCCAGTGGAGCTGTGTTGCATTTGTTAAACACATTTGAAAAAGGCTAGACTGCTTCAGGTTGACACCCGGGAAAGCAAGGACATCTCAGATATGCCTTGCTTGTTGAAGACAGGACTTTCTCTTGTATATGCCCCGAGATGCTTTTGATTATCTCAGTGGAAAACATTGCCTCGCACTTTCCTTGTATTTTAACTGTGTTCTGAAAAAGAAGCCTTTGTTCACCCAAAGAATTATTTTGTTTCTCTCTCTCTCTCTAAGAGATTATTTGTAAACGGAGTAAAAATTTTAGAAAAGGCTGGCTTGCTCTGGGTGGCTGTGGTTTCGTGGCTGACAGCAACCACTATGCACGCAAGGAGTGCTTGCTTTGAAACCTAGCTAGAAATGGCCTCTGGTCATGGTTGTGATGCTGCTGGAATCGCCACAATGCCTAACAGGCATACGCCTGGGTTCTGCAAACCAAAGAAGGGAGAGGGCTCAGCGGCTGGTGATGCAGGAATTAAGGGTTAAGTTTGTAACTTGGAACGTCACACAGCAGACGGCGCCTCTTTAGAGTGCCCGCTTGCTTCTCCCTGGCATCCGATGAACATGTCTGGCACAAGCGCCAGGAAAGCCCAGTGCCTTTTCTTCCTACCTCACGAACTCCGTGTTCAAGGCAGGAGCTCAGCTGCAGGCTGCAGTGCTCAGGCAAGGTTGTCACCGTGAAGCCAGTGAACCCTGACATAAATGCCTTCCTTTCATAGTGTATTTAGAAGTGATTCTAAATCGTTATAAAATGCAGCACACCTTGCTCGCCTTGAACCGAGATGCGCTCTGGGTTTCTCCGACACTGGATTGACCAAGACCATCTAGAGCAGGCTAGTTCTGAAAACCACAAGAGCAAAACTGTGGCTAGGCTCATATTTTACTCTCAACTCCAGTGATGAGTTATGATGAGGTTCAATGTATATGAGGTACCTCACCAGGACAGAGACAATTTCAGAGCTTCTCTCTTCTTCACGGGGAAAGCTGCCTTCATTTAGTGCACTCCTAAGAGAGGAAGGGGGGGCTGGGCGCCAGGCCTGTGAGTGGACCAGATCACTCAGGCCAGCTGCTGGCTTCTTCTGGGACCTAAGCAAGTGTTACCACCTTGAGTCCCGCTGGGCACACCCATCATTTGGGAAGGGCAGAGCTTCTGCTTAGGTTTCTTCCGTGAAGGCTCAGCCTAGCACCAGTTCTTCATTCTCTCTGGGGACCCCTGTGTGACCCTGGCCCAGGCATGCACTGGCATTTCTTCCCATTTCCATGTTCTATCCCAGGCTCCCTGCCCAGAGCCAGTCCACAGTCAGGGTCTGGGCATGCAGAAAGGGCAGGGTCTCCTTTCAATGACGGTGAGTATGAAGAGGTATATTTTCCTCTCTGAGCCCTCATGCCCTTTTGTGAGATGAGGATAAGTGTGCAGGCTGCTTGGAGGTGAAACGAAGCATTGCGTGGAAGCCTGGGGTACTGTAGGTCCATCTTGTAACCCTGCCCTTCAGTGTTAATGGCTCTGCGTGTATTTGAATTTTTTACGGAATGTAGTTAATTTTCAGCATACACTTTGTCTGGGATTCTTCCAGACACCACTGTGTTTTGCTGTAGCTACGTGCCCTTTCAGAAGCAAGTGACATTTTATGTCTTCCTGGTTAAGAAAATTGCCTTAAGCTGCCGCTACACTATGATCAAATCTGCCCACAACATTTTAATCCACCAAATCTCCTTGTCTTAGGGAATTTATTTCAGGAATCAGGAGCCAATGGCTTGCGTGGTCTGGGCTAGTGAATGTACGGCTTGCTGCTCTGTATGGCTGGCTGGCAGAGGTCATCGGAAGGAATTAGCATGGTGGGTCACAATGGTGATTCTTGTAGATATGATGTGGTCCTACAGATTTGTTTGAGGTCGCTGGATAGGAGACATGACCTGTTTATTTGCCAGAGGATTGAGAGCACCGAGTGTCACAGCACAAACACTGTGCCAAGGTTCCTGCCTAGCCCTTCTGTCACTTCAATGCCCACGGGACACACAGATTTAAAGCATTTGGACCGTAGGCTGCTCAAGATTTGGGAGTTGTAACTTAAATAGTATTAGACACTCAGGATTAATCTCTGATTTAAAAAAGGCTTAGGCTTCTCAGTGCTCTGAGGGAAATGTATGGGACTCGTTAGACAGTTTCTCGTGACTGCAGAACACAGACTGTCATCAGCGTTTGACACTTGCGGATGTCTCCATTCATCGAGAAGGATCTGCTCCCAGGCCACCTTGCACATCTCAGGGGACAGAGATTCCAGCAAAGTGGGGGCGACAGTGGGACCCAAGAAGACTGGGCCACAGGGCAGGGTGTTCCACTTCGTTTAAACAAATGGATCCGTTATTGCATTCCCTGTAAGTAAGTTTGCATCTCTGCAGCAAGGATGTGGCTGGAGTGACTAGAGGGAGTGACTTCTCAGATATATTGTGGTTGGGAATTATGAGATGTGAGCTCCACTATGGGCAAACTTTGACTGTTACGGGTTCCCTGAGGAAGATTCTCTTTGCTATTAGAAACCTTGAGAGAGGATAGTCCTCACTGTCTTTCACTAACACAGTAATAGATTTCATTGTGGCATCTCATGCCTCTTTTTTTCTTTTTGGCTGATTCTTCCCTTCTGGTCCTCTTCTTCCCCTTCTCCTGCTGCCCCTCTTCCTCCCTCTGGCGACCCCCTCCTGCTTTCCTGGCACATGTATTCTGTGACTCCCCCAGACTTGTCTCCCCCTTCCCACCATCCTCTTCATAGGTTCATGTCCTATACTCTGTCCCCACCAAAATATATTCACATACATAACAATTCAAATCTCGGATCTGCCTATGAGAGAAAATGTGGACTTTGTCTTCCGAGTCTGGGTTTCTTAGCTTAACACGATAATTTGTAGTTGCACCCACTTTCCTGCAAATGCCATGATTTCATTTTCCTTCCACACTGAGTCAGATTTCACTGGTGTGCGTACAGCACATTTTCCTTACCTAGCTGTCTGTTGACAGATGTCTAGGCTGGGTCCACTTCCTACAGGTTATGAACACTAAACATGGATGTGCAAATCTCTGTTGTAGTGCTTCAGGTTCTTTGGGTATGTGCCCGGGAGTGGTGCAATTGGGTTACACAGTAGTTCTACTTTTCTGAGAAACCTTCATACTGATTTCCATGGTGCCATGCCGGTTTACACTCTGACCTCTAGTGAGTAAGGGCAACACCCGGCCCGCGTCGCCGAGTCAGCATCACCAGGTAGCCATTCTGACTCAGGTGAGACTGAATCTCAAAGCAATTTTAATTTGCATTTCAGAAAGGTAACTTTAAAGTGCAGATAGAACTGTTTTATACCTACATGCAGCTTTCTTTAATGGATCCCAATTATTTTTTAGAAAAAATAATCAGGTTCATTCAAGGACCTTCATGCTCTCGCCTAAGGCGGCCTGGTGGCCTCTGCCACCTCATCTCTTGTCAGTACCCATAGGCACCACCCCACAGGTATTTCCAACCGCGTGCGGTAGCTGGGGTCCTTTCTTGTTTTTATACCTTTGCACACACTGCTCATTCTGCTGGGACACCCTTCCCTGCTGCCAGGGTTTGCACACCACTGCGTACGCTTTAAGATTATGTTAGGTGAGACCGCCAGAGGCTTTCCCTAACCTTCCCTTCCACTCTTCCACCACACCGCTGTGGGACAGTGCCTTTTATTACTGTCACACTGCCGTGGGACAGGCTCCTTCAGTATGTACTAGGGTCATGGACATGGAGAACAGAAGTTGTTTACTTCCATGATCCTTCTATATGGTTTTTAAGAACTCTGAAATTGAGACGTTCCTTGGATGCTTGGGCATTTTGTCTGTGTGTAGGTCTGCACACCACTTCAGTGCTCGCTTGTCGCAGAAAGAGAACTGGCTTCCCTGGAACTGGAACTGTGGGTGCTGGGAACTGAACCTGGATCCTCTGGATAAGAAGCCAGTGCCCTAAACCACCGAGCCACCTCTCCAGCCTTCTGCATATATTCGTAAGTATTCAGGATGTGTGGCTTACAGAAGTTGCTCATCAAATCTCTACTGACTGGCAGACTGACTGACTGACTGACTGACTGACTGACTGAATGAATGAATGGGTTGAAACAGGGAATGTTGGAGCCACAAATTTATTTATGTATTTGCTTATTGTGTGCATGCATGTACACACAGTGTCTGTGTGTCTACATGTGTGTATGCCTGGAGGCCATAGGTTGATGTCAGAAGTCTTCCTCTATCCTCTGTGCCAAACTGTCTAGACTGGCTTCCCTGTTCTAACTGTACTAGAGGCCGTGGAGACCTGGTCTTAGTCCATTATGCTTATGCAGCAGGTACTTCACCAACTGAACCGTCTTCACAGCCCCACAGTTTTATTATTCTAATGAATTTATTTATTGGACGTGTTCATTCGCATGCATGTGAGTATATGTATGTGTGTATGAGGGGTGCATATATGTGCATGCACATGGAGGCCAGACGTCAACCTTGGGCTTGTCTCTGAGGAGCTGTCTACTTTTCTTTTTTTTAACTTTTAGATGCAGGCTTTCAGTGGTGCTTAGGCTGGCTGGCTAGTGAGCTCCAAGGATTGTTCTGACTCTGCCTCACCACCAGTAATGAATTACAAAGTATGCCACCATGCCTGACTTTTTATGTGGCTAGTTGGGTTCAAACTCAGGCCCTTTACTTGCATGGCAAGCACTTTACTGACTGAATTCTCTCTCTGTCCCCTGGAGATGTCTTTGATGCATTTGCCTAAGTCTTCTAGGCTCTCTCTGATATGTTGGGTGCGTTATTCTCTTGATGCCTCAACTGTAGTTCCTTGAACTCTGTCATGCCATCAGATGTGATAATACACACATATTACAGGAAAAACTTCTGTATATGCACACACACACAGCCACATAGCTAGACACATATGCATGTGTATATAAACGCACAATTTAACACAGTTT